ATAAAATCACGTAAATGATGCAGTATGATGATCTCCTAATTCAGAATTCTGAAAATACTGAGAATTCTACAAATTCTGAAAATACAGAAGATCTACATAATTTTGCAGATCTTTTAAATACTGAGGATAATCCTAATTTTACGAATTAAATGAAGTTAAGAATACTTAGTATTATATTTATTTTTAATATTCTAATTTTTATTATTTATTTTAATATAGTTTATATTTTATTATTTTACGTATTTTATTTTTTTATATTTTATTTATCAAATTAATTAATTTATAGTATAGTAAATAGTTAACAGTAATAAAAAAAATTTTATATAAATAGATAGACTTTTTGCTTATGTTGTAAATTAATTCTCTTGCGAATATGAGTTTTAATATTAATAAAAAAATCATTCAAAACTTATATCTTTTTACTCTTTGTATCTTTATATAGTCTGATGTAATCCCTACACATTATTTGTAATTGAGTTCATCATCTGAATTCTTTAATTAAATTATTCATAATTTCGTCTTTCAAGTCTTCATATTTGATAAGATTTGTTTAAGTTTAATGCGTAGAATTAATAAAGTTAAAAGATAGGCAAATTCTAACGTCTTAACTGCAGTAAGTTGCAGTTAGAAACTTTGAGTAAAGACTTAATAATGTAACTAATCTGAGTTGAAGAATTCTATGGTAAAAATATATAGATATATATTATATATAATTAAATGCATTTTTTCAAAAATCTTTTAATATTTTTTACTTTTTATCTTAAGTATATTATTAGTTACTTATCATATTTGACATATATTTGATTATTAATTATTATATTTTTAATATGTTTCTTCATTTTTTATTAATTACTACTACTATTTAACATACTTGTTTATATACTTAATTATTATTTTTTACTTAAATTATGAATTTTACATTTTTTTATAATTTTGGTTAATTCTATTTACTTTTTCTATAACTGATTACTTCTATACCACATTTCTTATTTTCTTCTATTTCTCTTTCTCTATTCCATTATTTGCATTTTTTTTCACATATAAGTTATGCCTTATGTTCTTTTATTATTTTATTTTTTTTTACTTATTTTATTTTCTAATCATTTTTGCATTTGTATTTTACTATTTATTTTATATTATAAAGTTAATTTTACTAAGTTTTAATATTAATTTAATAATGTATATTTATATTTTATAATTATTATTTTATTAAAATCTTTATATTTATTTTTATTTTATTATTTTAATTAATTAAATTTTATTAGTTAGAGATCTAATTTTTTAAAAAACAATTAGTATTAGAATAATGGACCTGTAATTATTTAAGTAAATTAGTTTATTTATTTATTATAAAATTTATTATTTTTATATATATATTATTAAACTTAAATAAATTTTTAATATTATTTAACAAAACTACTATATTTTTTATTTTTATTTCATATTTTGATATTATATTAAAATTTATATTATATTATTATTGATTTATTTTAACTTGATTGCTCTTCTATTACTTATGTGAATTTTAAATTATCATATTCTAGACTTGTAAATAGTTCCTGTTTTTAATATATAATAAATAGATATTTAATATTAAAATAATATATTATTAATATATTTTATATAATATTAATAATTGATTATTTTACACATAATAAAATATTTTGAAAAAGAAAATTATAATAATATTAAGAAGAAATAATAAGAAAGATAAATAATAGATGATTTTAAAATAATTAAATAAAAGATCTAAATAAAATTAAATATGATAAAAGAAAAGAAATAATATTATAATAGGATAAAAGAAGATAATATATTAGAATGAAAAAGAGAAAATATATAATAAATATATGAAGAAAAAAAATAAGAATATATAGATTAACTATAATAGATAAAAAGAAATAATAAAGATGATCAATATTATTAAGATGATAAAAATCATGAAAAAGAACATTTATAAAGATTTAATTTGAAAAATAAATAATAAAATATTATTAAGGAATTATAAATAAAAAGAATAAAAGTAACAATATATAATTAAAGATCCTTGAATAAATAAAATTAATTTATAAACAAAACTTTTTAATGATAAGTAACAAAAATATATTAAGTAGAATAGCTTTTGTTGAAGCTATTAAACTTATAAAATATTATACAGTAGTAAATTTAAGTTTTAATGATTATAGCATAAATAAAAATATTAGTTTATCTGTATTGGATTTGTCTTTTTTAATTATATCTGTGAAATTGATATGAAATATTATGTAAATTAATTATATATATATAAATATAAAATTAGCATAACCTTAAATAAATTTCTGGTCTGCTTATAATTAAATAAAAATGAATTTAGATTTAATAGAGTATAATCTTAATAAATTAGCTATAAATCATTTAAATTGATATAAATTATTAAAAAATTGTAATTTGCTATAATCTACTTAAATACTTGTAAAAAATAGATTTAGATAGCATTATATACTTTAAACTTTAATTATCTGATCATAATAAATTAAAATATTTCTCTAAAAATAAGCAAATTCCTAAAAATAAGCAATTTTAAATTAATTTAATATCAGAAAAAGCACTTAATTAAATTAAATAAATAAATTTTATAAAATAATTATATATAAGAAAGAAAATTTTTATTTTTAATATTTCAATATACAAATCATATTAAACATGATTTTTAATATCTTCTTCAATATCATTATCATTATCAATATCATTATCACTATCAATATCATTATTATTATTAATATCATCTTTATTAAGGATCTCTAAATCAAAATTCAAATTGATCAATATTTTATAAGTTTTAAAGAATTTTATAATAATTTTATCAGAAATCCTTTCTCAAAACTTTTTAACTCATAAACATATATTATTAAATCTAACGTGATAAAATTTCTCTTAACAGTTTCTTTAATATCATTATTAGTCATTCAAATATATCATTCTTAATGAAGATTATTTTTAACTAGTTTATTCATTGCAATATCTAATAACTAATAAATACTAGTCAACCTATCCAAAATTATTGCAAAATCAAAGCTAATTTCATAAAACTTTCTTTTTATTGATTCTTTTAAATAACCTTTAAAGAATCATATATAAGTATTGCTAAATTTACTTGAAATCTATTTTATTCTTATATTATTAAGATAATCTATATACTTTACTATTAAATCAGAGTCTATCTAGTCATTTTTTGAAATCAAATAATAATAATACTAGGAGAAATTTGTTCTTTGTGTAATATTTGCTTTCCTTTGAAAATACATATTAGAGAAAATTTAGTTTTATCTATAATAATGAATCAATAGTACTAGTGAGTAAATTTCAATTTTATAAAAAAAAAGAAAAGTTTATTTGTAATATGTAAATATAACTGTAAATCTATTTTTTTATTATCTGTTACGTAAATATTGACTGTTTTTTTATCTTTTAAATTAATAGTAAAATTATCAGCCATATCAAATTAAACAGGTATTTTATCCATATTATAAATATTTTTAATTCAAATGATTTTTTAATTCTTAAATTAGTAATAAATTGGTATAACTTTTTTAATTGCTCTTTAGTTTAATTAGAAATTTCTGAGATATTCTAATTCGCCTTTACAATACTAACCTATATCTTTTTATAAAAGCAGTTAACCAGTAGTGAAATGTTTAAAATTTGATTTATTATAAAGAATCCCTATATTTAGTTTTAAATTTTTCAGTATTCTACTTTGTATTATTGCATAGATAACTATGAGACTTTCTTTATTCTATAATCTATTCATAAAACTTCTTCTCAGCTTCAAAATAAAAAGCTTCTCATTTAGAGTCAAACTTCTTACTTTTTCTTTTATTTTAGTTGTCTAGTTTAAACTTGTAGCTACCTAATATTCTATTATGCTATGATTAATATCAAAGTATTTTTGCTGTCTTAATATATCTATGTTTTTTTGTATAGTATAAAGACTTGTATTTTTTTTCAATAAAATATGAAGTTTATTAACTTTTATAACCTTTCATATAATAATTCTTTTTTTATAGAATGTAAAATTTTAGTTAAATAAAATTTTTTTCACAATTTACATGATATTTGATAATTAATGTGATTAATAATATTAAGCCTAAACACTACGTTATTAGGATAAAAAAGCTTATTTGCTAACAGATAATAAATATGATGTTTTTGAATTTTGATCAATTCAAAATATTATCTAAAAAGAATTCAGAAATCTTTTCTAAGATTAGATATATTAATACATATAAAATTTTATAAAGAAAGTAAAGAATTTTATCCTTTTGAAATAAAAACAAATTATATATATTGCATTGTATATGATTCAGTAATATTTATTTCTGAAAATATATAATTTGCTTTTACTATACAGATAATCACTTGAAGAAATACATTATTATAAATACTATTTCTAATGAATAAGTAATAAGAAAAAAAATTTTTTTTAATCTATTGCTTTAAGAGAATTTCATATTTGGTAAAATAAACAATAAATATTATGAAAAAGATGTTGAAATGAAATGCTTTTAACTGAAGCTTTTATTCTAATCTATTTCATATTCAAAAAAGAATAAGTTGATATCAATATTATATTTATATGATGATTATTCAACTAGCTGTAAAACTTATATATAATACTTTTTAGCTAAAGTAATCATAGTAAAAAATATTTTATTAAGTATTTTAAATTTCAAACCATTTTGTGTTTTACTTATCAAGTAAGAAATCTTTTTACCAATTTCTTATTAATTCTAAAATTGCAAAAGTAATACAGCAAAATATTTATTTTATCTCTATTTGTAAAACATAATAATTTCTATCATTATAAATCATTTTAATCAACTAAAAAATACTGTATTTTTATATTAGTTAATAATAAATATCAACATATATAAAATTAATATTATTATATGATAAATTTAAAATTTTAACTATTGATTTAAAATATTAAAAAATTAAAAATTTAAAAATTGTTTTAATATTCACATTATCAAAATACTTTTATAACCTATTTAATTTTGTAATTAAATATTATAATAAAAATTTCTTGTATAAAATCTATTATTATTTATTTTTTAATTACTTTCTTTTTTTAATATTCTTTCCTTTTTTCTTTACAACACCTCCACTTTTAACTTTCTTTTTAATAACATTTCCGACTTTACTTTTTTCCTTTTCAACACCTTTTTTCTTTGGTACAACAGTAAAGGCATTCTTTTTAGTAACATCAGCTAAATCCATTTCAAATCCAATTTTATTCTTTTTCTTTTTATTTCCTTCACCTTTCCCCTTTTCCTTTGTCTTATCTTTTTCTAATACTTTATTTATTTTAGTAGGTTTTTGAGCCTTTTTAGCTAACTTTATAGCTTTCAAATTTTCGAATTTTTTATGGATATTAGAATCATCTTCACGTAATTTCAACTTTCTTTTTTTAACTCTCGACATACCAGCGTATTTATCTCTTTTAATTTTCTTTTTTCCTCCTTCATCATCTTCATCCCTTCTTCGTTTTTTAACATCAAATTTTTCATTATACTCTTCAACAGAAAGATTTTTTGATGATTTTTTTTCTTTTTCAGTTTGAAACCAAGTTCTAGCAGGTCTATTCACAATTTCTTCCTTATATTTGATCAAATTCTGGCCTTTTAATAATTCCATTTCAGTTTGTTTAATTAATTTTTCTTCCTTTTCTTCTTTCAGTACTTCTTTTACTTTATCTTTAATACCTGCTAAATTTTCAGCATATTCTTTTATTAACTCTGTATCTATATTCCTTCTTTTAATTTGTTCTTTTTGTGAATGTTTTAACACCATTTTTAATAATTTACGATCTTCCTCTCCTGTTAATGTAACGGATCTTTTTATCAAAAACAAAATAAATAGAAAAAAAATTTTAAATTATATATTTGTAAAGTATATTAAGATAAATAATGTTACTTACCGCCCATTTCTGCCTGCTCGAGCAGTTCTACCAACTCGATGAATGTAATGGTCATAACTTTGTGGCATATTATAATTAATAACTGTTTCGATTCCTTTAATATCCAATCCACGTGATGCTAAATCTGTAGCTAATAAATAATCTACTTTACCATCACGAAATGCTTCTAACGCTTCCAACCTCTATATAAAAAAAAAGATTTTTTTTGTTCTCCTTAATAATCAAACCGAAGGAAAAAAAAGATCCCGTTGTCATTCGTATAAAACTTACTTGCTCTTGTGAAAGGTTACCATGTAATTCAGAAGCTTTTAACCCAAATAATCCAAAAATAATTTTCATTTCATGAGCAATCATCTTTGATCTAAAAAATATTATAACTTTATGTTTAAAATATTTTTTACATAAAATTAATAATATAAGTTCGCGATTTTTTTCTTGATGTTCTCTTATTCTAATAAATTCTTGTATTAATTTTGCATTTGTTGCTTTAATGTGATCTACCATTAATTTTACTGGTCTATTTAACGATAATCTTATTAATTCATCAATATTATCTGTCATTGTCGCTGAAAATAACATTGTTTGTCGTGATTTTGGACAATGTTTAACTATCTCATTTAATTCATCTGCAAATCCATCTTCCAACATCCTGAAAGAGAAAGAAAATTTAACATTATTTCAAGGAAAAACATGCGATCGAAGGAAAATTTAAGTTTTTTTTACCGATCAGCTTCATCTATAATTAGAATTTCGATATTTTCCAGTGAAAAGGATACAGAATTTCTTACGTGATCAATAAGTCTTCCTGGAGTCGCAATAACAATATCAGGACGTACCCGTAATTCTGTTTCCTGCTTCTTAAGGCTTAACCCACCTAAAAAAGAAAAGCACTTTAATAAAAAGTTTTCTTGCAAAAACCTCCTCCGTTTAATACTAACCGACACAAAGACATAAAGTGATATCCGTAAAAGCTGCTAATTTACTAGCAACACTATGACATTGTATAGCCAATTCACGTGTAGGTGCTAATATGAGTACTCTAACTTCTGCTGTCTGTCTTGGTCTATATAATAACCTTTCTATTATTGGTACTAAAAAGGCTATAGTTTTACCACTTCCCGTTATCGCTCCTCCACAAATATCTTTACCCATAAGTGCAATTGGTATGGCTTGTTTTTGTATTGGCGTTGGTTGAATAAATCCTAAATGGCTTAATCCTTTCAATATTGGTCTTGATAAATTCATTGTTTGAAATGATTCTGTTGATGCCAAATCTTGATTCTGTATTATTTCGGATTTATCTGCAAAATATGCTTTCTTTCGCTAAATCAAAAGTGAAAGGTAAGGCAACTACGATTGAATATCGATATCTTCAAATATCATATTTGTATTAATTGCAAACCTCTCTTTCATATTCATCATCTGTTTCACTGCTAACTGTGTCATCCTCATCCACGTCGTCCTCATCATCATCTTCATCAATGCCTTCATCATTCATATCATCCTCAGAATTAGCATCCTGTTTCTCCTTATGTTCATTATTTTCCTCCTCTTGTTCAGAATCACTAATTCCTTCCTCATCATCAATAACATAATCTACACCACCACCAAATGCAAAGGGATCATCTTCGTCTAAAAGGAAAAGTTAATAAATAACACTTCTATAAGAAAATGATAAAAATAAATAGGAAATGAAACTTAGTTAATACCACTGTTTTCCTCATCTTCATTTTCAGTTTGCTTATCTTTATTAACTCCATTTTTTTTTACAATTTCTTTCTTTTTCTTACTACTGACATATTCCTTTTCTAAATTATCATCGTTCTCTTCCGACATGCTCAACTCATCACCTACTCAAAAAAATAAAATTTATCAAACTTATCAAAAATTTTGAATTCAATATATATATATATCGTAAATATAACATACCATGTTTTGATTTAGTAATAACCTTTTTATTACCATTCTTATTATTACCATTTGCCTTAGCATTTTTCTCTTTCTTCGTATCTAATCTCTTCTTTTCAATTATCTCATCAATAGTTCTAGATGTCACCTTAATAAAAAAAATTTTTTTAATTTATCAAAACTTCGTTTTTTTTTTTTTTTTTAAAAAAAAAAGGAATGAGTAAATTCTCGTTTTCGTAACTTACAAGTATTTTCGGTTTAAGACCAGCTCTTGCAGCACTAAAATCCCATGGATGTTCGATTGAATTATTAATTCCATCGATAAAGAATGTAAAGTCCGGATTAATAATATCATTCTCTGTGTTTACATCTTTTTTATTGATTTCCTTTTTATCCTTTTCTTTTTTAGTCTTTTTTTCTTTTTTGTTATCACCCTTTTTATTTAATTTCTTATTATTAGAAGAACTTGTTTGTGGGTTATCATTAACGTCACTACTCTCTTCTTCTGGAATAATGACTTCAGTATCATCTTCAATAGTCAATACAAAATCATCCATATTTTTACTTTATATTAAAAAATTTCCGTAAATTTCAATTTTTTAGGAAAAAAAAAAAATCTCTTATTTAACTAATTTTTGATTGGGTGATAAAATTTCATGGTAGATCATGCATACTAATTGTGATGTGCTATCTTCTATTTGATCGGTTCATCATTTCATTTTTTAATCTACCTAAGGAACGTTCGCCAGTACCCTCGAAACAAAAAATGTCAAATTTAAACATATAGATCGCTATGAAGAAATTTATTGACTGAAATATACGTTCAGATGATACAATGAAAGTTGTATGGAATGTGCCGACTTTGAATTTTACCTCTCCAACAAATGTCTGTCATATAGAATTTTCTTCAAAAAAAATTTGATATTATTTGTTTCTCTTAATAAAATTTAAATTTTTATACTAGTATTTAAATTTCTCTTTATTTTATTTTTTAATTTTGTTAACTGCCCAAAATTTCCTAAATGCCTAAATGAAACAAACCTATATATATATATTCAATCAAACTTAGTATATAATAATTTAAATAAATTTTCATGTTCCCGTTCCATAACCGATGTGTCGTCTACGTTCTAACAACTCCCTTTCTTCCTGGTGGTTTAGGTCTGGAAAACGACATTGGTGCTGTTTCAGTTGTTGGATGTAATTCATCCAAAATATAAGATTTAGTAAAATCTTCCGGATCATTCGTTTCCAACTATATAATGAACAAGCTCAATTAGCAATTGCTTAAAAAAAAAATTTGTTTAAGCCAAAATCAATTACCTTTTTCGTGATTGAAATGCCGGCTTCTTTTTCCGCAAACGTGATCACAGAACCTCGACATGATGAATACAACATACGTTCACGAATTTTTGAGTTCGGAGGACAAGTATATATGAAAACTAAAAAACATGACGAACATTTAATATTTTAAAATTATTGAATTGAAATCATAAACCAAGAATGGAAGAATTACTGTTGGAGATAACATCCACCCCGTCGTGTGTGTGTTGATAAACGTAAAAAGCATATCTTGGAGAATCGGTAGGGAAAGATTTTGCAAGGTTGTCGATGTTAATATTAACGGTTTCATCAAGTTCGATCGTTTCTTTTTTGATATCCAAAAACTACGTAATAAAATAACCACCCAAGTTATTATAATTCCAAAAATAATTTCTTAGAGAAAATATCATGTGCTTACTAGTTTCACAAAATTGTTTGTCAAATCAGGTTGTAGCAAACCTTGTATGGCTTGTATCGCTTCATCGGACATGGGGAAAGAAATTCCCGCCGCATGAGATTTACGTGTTGAATAACTGAATGCATTCGCATTAGCCTATAATATAAAAATCATATAGTAAAAAGATTGTGTATCATTGAAAAAATGTTCCTTAAGATAACATTAAGTCTCAATGTACCTCAGCAGTTTTCACTTCGGCTAATTCTTTTTCACGCTCCGTTAATGGCGCGTCAGCTTCCTTATGTCGTCTATGTTTCTGGTATCCTTCCAACGAAAACTCGGCCTGTTTGAATAGAGAACGAAGAATAAATAAATGACATCATCAATTTTGAAGGAAATTCACGGATGTTTTAACTCACTGTTGTAGTACCGTACACAGAATCAACGAAGCGGGAGTCACCTAACTCTTTTAGTAATGTCGCACGTGTCGATGCGTACAACATCTTATCTCGGACCTAGGTTATATCATTCGTGATGAACATTTTTACAGATACGTTTTATTAATGTCAAAATTACCTTAGAAATATCAGGAACGTAGGTCATAAATATCCATTCATAGTCTCCTGTCGAAGATTTTGAATCAAGTCGATAAAGGATGTAGCAAGGTGTCTTTTCTTCCAAGAAGTCACTAACTCCTGCAAAGTCTATTGAATAGATTAAAATTACACATTAAAATTTATAGGAATATCTACGAATTATTAACAGGTACTTAGGATCACACTCACCAGATTCCCAATTATCAGCAATTTCTTTTGTGCCGTTTGGAACCAATGATTCTATGAGTAGAATTGCAAATAATTATTTAAGTAATGTAATGTATTTACAAATAAATTGATGCTAAAAATCACTCAAATGAAAAGTTACCATTAATAATTGATATGCGTAAAAGTCTTAAATTTTTTTCGGAAACGGCCTTTGCAAACACGTCTGCGAGTTCTTGCGAAACTAAAAGAGAAGTGAAAAAAAACACGTTATTCAATGGTGTTTGACAAACGTGTTTAATATATGCTAACCTCGAATTCCAGATTGGTGAGACATTTTTGAAAGTAAAGGTGGTAACTTAAAAGAACAAGGAGCAATTCTGGAATTTTTACGAGTCAGCTAAGTGGTCTTCTGATATGAGATATTTTCATTTTTACAATTAATCCCAATTTATATATACTGTATGCGCTCCCCAAGTTTTGTGTCAACTTTACCAATGATCTTTCCCTTCATTGTGCTGTTCTGTATTTTTATTGGCTGGTAAAACATTAATAAATGAAATTGAAACAAAGCGTGACTTTTTTACAACGAGAAATCAAAATAAAACTACAATCAATGCCTGCTACGATCCAGATCCCGAAAGGTATGAAATTTTTAACCTTTGTAAAATATAACTTTTCTTAATTGCTGTCACATTATTTTGTAAAACCATCTTCCTCGAACCAATCGGCAGACCGTTATCTCACACCTCTTGTTAGATGTGTTTGTCAGGCTCAAGCCTGCAACCGATGGAACTTCCATTCAAGGAATATTATTTGGCCAACGTGAAGAATGTCTAAACCATGGACTAGTTATACACGTAAAGGTTGGTCTTTATCTTACGAATAATAGCTTGTAGATACTTTTAAGTCACTGTTTAATTTTTTTCTTTTACCCTTTTTTGTTTAACTATTAAGGGGTTTTATCCATATAAAGCCAGTTCGCAAGAATTAGATAGTACAATCGCAAAGTTAATGAATTGGAAGGGTCAAACGGTTCTTGGTTGGTTTGCAGTAAGTTACTTTTCCAATGTTTATCGGTTACCATTTTAACATTCTGCTTCGTTCAATATATACCTCATATTTCGAATATTAAATTTTTTTTTTTTACACCAGGCTCCCGGATCAGATGTTACGTCGCGTTTTGAAACAGCACGCATAGCTTCAGCATATTTTCGCGCTATCCAGGCGTCAATGCTGAAAGTTATTGTATATAATTTTCTCGGTCAACATACAGGTACCGAAATTATCAAGAATTATCAGTGTACCAATTTATTTATATGATTTATTACCTATCGATGATTGATTTATCTTCAATTATAATTTAGAAGAGAGTGAAGGAGAAGAAATCGTTCAAATGATCGTTCGAGAAGCTTGTGCCTTATTTCAAGACCTTATAGGATTTGTTGTTCAAAGACTACCTAAAACGCCAAATACATTGACTACTAACACAATAATGGACACAGATTCGACAACGAGTCAAGCATTTTTCTCGGCTCCAACATTTAATGAAGTGTTGAGTCAATTTCAAAATCTAAACCAAGAAACGAAAAGTGACATTATGGAAATGAACATTATGCAAGGTTTAATGGAAGGAGTGCAAGCCGTTAATGGTTCGGGACATAATGGCGCTTCAGTGAATAATCATGTCAAGGTAATGGATGATAGAGAAGATGAAGACGATGATTTAGGAGAGCTTTTCTCACTGTGGGGAAATGGTCAAGGACCAGCGAGTAAAAAATTAAGAACTAGGAGGGCTAGTACTACAGATATCGCTGATGGTCCATTAAGAAAGAGTTTATATGGAAATATTTCAGAATTTTTAGATGATATCCCTAAGAAAAGGAAAGGATTTGATATAGATAATAATAATAAAAACGCAATAAAAAAGGTATTTTAAAAATGACCTGAAAAGAATGTAATTTAAAGACACGCACATCACCAATTCTACCTCTTATTACCTACAGGCAAAACCGCCCACGAGCAATATTACAAACGTGATTCCGGCGCCATTTAAAGTAATTCCTGGTCAAGCTTCAGAATATTTTCAACAAGCTCACGGAGATGATAGGTAATGCGACGTATAAGTTCGTGTTTAAGAAATTTTTTTCCCTTCCTCACACTTTAATATTTTTAACTATATCCTTCATATTGATCTTACTCAGTATACACTATTCTTCTGATTTTGACGAATCCTTAATGACTTCCTACACCGCCTCATTTTTCGCTCCGATCAATCTCGGACAACCATCATCTCTTATTACTACATTTGCTCAAGCTCGAATAACGTCAGCTTACGACGCGATATCTCATCATATTAACTCACACACTCGAGAAAAAATTTCACGTTACGAAAAGTCGTGTCACGAATATGAGCTATTGTTAGAGATACTTGAGGCGTTAGATGGTGTTGGTGATGAAGTGGCACTTGCCAAAAAATTGGAAAATTGGGTTGAGGATGCTGAGGAAGAGGAAGATGACGAGGATGAGGAAGTGTTAGTTATTGATACCAACGCTGTGAGTGAAACTAGATCAGAGGAAGTAGATATAGAAAGTTCAGATAGTGAACCTCAAGACTCCAATAGTGATAACGATCGCGAAAACGAGAATCCAGCCGATACATCACCAAAAACTAAAAAGACCACAATTAAATGTTGCGTTGATAATGAGAACAAAAGCGAAGATGGAGAAATGGATGATGAAACTTCCTTAAGTAATAATAATGGAGTTGTGAACGGCGAGGTAAGTTCGTCATCTTCTATGGAGGAGGGCGAAATTGATGAAGAGGAGGAACCTGGCATTGCGTGGCAAACTAAAAATGACTGTGAAAATAATAAAAAAAGTGATAATCCATCATCGTCTCCTTTTCATAACAAAAATATCTCTCTTAATTTGTTGGAAGTTGGGAAAAAGACCACTAATACAAGGGACGATAGTCCTGGGTGGGCATGGGATGACGAAGAAATCGAAGATTAGATGTTTATGAGATTGAATTTTGAAAACTTGTCGGAATTATATTTATATACATTATATTATTTTCATTTTTATTATTAGTATTGTTTGTTTGTTTCATTTGTACAAAACTTGAATGTTAATTATTATTATATTTTATATTTTTATTTTTATTTTTATTTACTTTATTGAACGAAATCATCTTACTTTATTTTACATTAATAGAATTCTTTGGTAACCCTAGCTCATGTATGCTTTTTGTTATCGGAATTAAAATAACAAAAATAATACAACGTATATAATAATAATAATAAATTGTCAAGACCAAAGAACAAAAATGGGTTCTAAAGAATTTTTTTTTTTCTATTGGAACAAAATTTTGTTTTGGGATCTTTTGGATTATCAAAAATTTGAAATAATTCGTTCACAACGGGTAAGAAATTATTAACTTTTATGAAAAGAGGATTACCAGTCTTATATTATTATTAATTCAAATAACATTCTTTTATTTAGCTTCTATTGCATTCGGTGTATATTTTTCTTCGTCATTATTTAAACGTAATATCAGTCACCGGACATGTCGCATTCATATTAACGTATAAACCCGACTACGAATTTTTAAGAATGTGAATTTTTGCGTAATAAAATTAAAAAGATAATTATCTTGACGATGCACGCTTTCCGATTTATTGCTCTCATCCAATAAAAGCAATAGTCTAGATCATTCGTTGGTGATTCACAAGTTCATTTATTTTAAAATTCGGATTTTTTTAAAAACTTTCGGTGTCAAAATGATAACTATAATTATTACTGTTGACCTTAACTATCCGTGAAATTTTACATCGCTGTAGTCACGTGATTGAATTTTAGACATGAAATCTAAATGGTTCATAAAAAGTTGTTTGAAACGGTGTAAGTTTGTCAGAAAGGCTCAAAAGGAGACTATTACATCGGAGATAACTTTCTTTGACGATGCAGCGTTGCAATAATCTAATAGCCTGTAATTCTTTGTTCATTCACGAACAAGGATTTTTTTTTATAGCGTACAATAACTATAAGGACATCCAACAATAAATATAGGAGATATCATACATATCTTGCCTTTTGTGAGTCGATTCAAAAATTTTCTTTGTAACAGTGATACTGGAGTTGGGAACAATTACAGTAATTTTACAATACTTTTATTAATTGTTCCCCTGTGATATTAGTCATAGATATTATTTTCCGGGATCAATATGCCTGGGATATATCGTACCAGTATTTAACTAAATCTTAGGCACTTCAAATTTAAAAAAATTATTGGCCAATCAATTTACTAAATCATATGCACGTGATTTATGTATTAACCAATTAATCAACGGACCAATCAAATCGTGGATATAATTCGGCTTGATGTGGTATAAACGACAGTTCCTTTGAATGACGTCGCCTCGGAGCGTAGAAAATCTTTACGAAGAAAATCCTTAAATGTTTCTGGAGATATTAGCACTCCCATTAGAATCGGTAGCTCCGGTAGTCAAAAACGTATCGACTCCACATCAAAGAAATTCGATTAAACCTTTGGAAGTAGTCATCCTATTCAAAAGATACCAGTTGAACAAATGCATGTTAATTTTGCAAGATTAATGAAAATGGCGACTGATAGCGTAAATTATTAATTATTATACTTTTTATTCATTATTCATTTTACATGCATCCTTAAGCTAAATTAAAGTAATTTTTTTTTTTATTAGGAATTGATGCTAACAAAATTAATGCTAGCAATAGTTGGAAACTTGCATTAATTGATAATTTTTCATGAGATGACTTTATTGAAAGAAGGCGATTTAAATTTTCAAAAGGCTTCATATTGGGTGGATGTTTAAGATTTATACTTCACGCGTTAATTCTGTAGCAGCATAAATAGGAAAAACTTTTAAGCGGATTGGACAATAGCTCCAGTACTTTTTAATTTTATTTATTGTATCTATGGTATACATAATTCAAAGGAAATAACGAAGAGATGATGTTGTTGATTCTGGAAAACGAAAGGTTAATAATATTATTACTTTGATGTTGTTAGAAATTAAATATTAATGTGAAATTTTTTATAGACTACAAGATCGGAAACGACATTGGCTAAAGACTATAGTGCATTGATCGTAAAGAATTTTAACTTAGAATTCTCGGTTGATCCTCTTTTTTTTTTAAAAGACTTTGACAAAGGTGGTGCACAAGGTTTGCTGTTAACCACTTGTCGTCGTTGAATTCAATAGAAATGACGAAGGTGTTGGTATAAATTATGATGTTTAGGGAATATTCGATGAAGAAGACATGAATCCACATGCGCGATTTACAGAAACAGATTATGTCATGGCTATCGTCATTAATGAAAACGAATTGTTTTCATATTTTGACTCTGCTTTCTTACGTAATTGGGCGAATCCTGAACATTGGAAGATAAAAATAACTAATAAAAGTAATTAAATATCTGTTTTGTCATTTTTATAATTACAAATTTTTTATATCTAAAATTTTAATATTTAATTCCTTAAATAGATAAAGGAACTTCAGAAATTGAAGGAGAAAAGGACCGGGTTCTGTAGCTTTTATTGAATCAGAGGATATGGATGAGCGAATCATCTTTGCATCTGGGAGAAGTACGATAAAATGCGCCCAAGTTAGCATCACATGGTCATCTACTTCCCGAGATATGTATTTTTCGTCAAGAAATTACTTCAACTATTCTTAAACCTCTAATAATTTATGGTAATTATTTAGCTTTTAAATTTTGCTTTCATTACATGAGTTTAATAATTTGGAACGTAATATACACATTTGATTGTATTATATTTTTTTTTGTAGTCTAACTCGAAACGCCAATATGAAGCACAGCCCGAACCCGAGTCCGATGATGGTTGGTCGCTTTTATAAATTATTTGTTAGGAATTAATAAGAAATATTGTTTATTCGGACATGATCCTAATTATAAATTTTTAATAATATGATAATATAGATCTTTAACTTTTTAAATTGATATTTATCTATCTACACTATGAAGATGGTTTTTACAACGAATTTGAGGGAAGAATTTGGTGATGATTTGGTAATTCGGACAAAGAGAAATTCAAATACGCCAAGAAACTATATGGAAATCGTTAGCTGAAAATACGGGAGTTATTTGTAATCTAAAGAAAATATATCCTCAAAGAAAGATTAAATATATTACTGTACCGTTATGTTTTTTTAGTTGATTACATTTAGCAAACGAGAAAGGTCTGGAAATTTCAAATAATGATCAAAAAATAGTTAATTAAATTTTTTGTTTCCAAATTTGGAATTTCATTGGTCGTTTATAAACCACATTTTTATGATTCAATAAAATACTGAAAATACTGACCTTAAATTAAGCGAGGTTTTATTTTTAGTTATTTTTTTATTTAAAGAATCTTGTACGTAAAATCACAGTAAGATTACCGTAGATCAAATGCGCGAACCGGTTTGTTTTATTAACAACGTTTGATGTATTTACTTCTCGATTGACTATTTGAGGAAAATGCCGGTAAAAATCAAATTTACTTTTTTACGTCAAATTTGATTTTAAGGCATAATTCGTTTTTTTATTGTTTCCGACAATTTCTTACCTTCTATTGCAAAGGTCCCATATTATCTCCTAACTGATCAAACGAAAAATAAGAATCATCCCTCTTCTATCAACTTCTTTATATAAGCTTTATGATTTTGTAAATAAAAAAAACCAAAATGTAAAATAAAAGATTTTTTATTCATTCATATTCAAAAACTAGAAATTGAAAAAAAATTTCATCTTTTTTTTTTCTTTATAAGAAATATATCAAAACTATATTTATTTAAGTAGTACCTTATAAACTAGAGTTCCGAATTAGTCGAGTCGAGTTTAAAGACTAACTCTATTTGACTCGTTTTTTTCAAGTTGAGTCAAGTTTATTTTATATTTGATTTGATTCGAGTAATATAAATTTTAAACTCGACTCAATTTGAGTTTAACTCGACTCGATTTTGACTTGAATTTATTTGAGTCAAGTTCAAATCTCAAATTTTAATAAAAAATTTATTTTAAATTATATTATATTGTAAATTTTATATATTATTTATTAAAGCAAAATCATAAAAAAAAAAATAATACAAAATTATTTATTTACAAAATAAAGAATTTTTATATTTTTACACGCTCTAATTGTTTCTGCTGATAGATTACATCTTTTTTGTGTAATTAGATCAGTTCCCTTAGAAAATGCTCTTTCTATCGGAACACTAGTAGCTTAAAAAATAAATATAAATAAATTAAATTTATTCACCTATAATAGCTAAAAAATCTCTTGTCATTTTTGCTAAATAAGGATATTGTGATTCATTTAACTAAAAAAAAAATTAAATTAAATAAGCTTATAACTAATATGAAATTATTAATAAAATATATTATTTACTTTTTATCATTGTAACAAATTAGTCTTTGAAGGTGCAAGTGAAGCATTAAGATAATACTCTATTTCATTAATATTTTCTACATGTTGTCTTTTAGATATATGATTTAATAAATCATCATCTTCTTCAGAACTTTCATTTGGATTTTCTAAATCTATCGTCGACAATGCATAATGCATATTAAAATAATAAGTAAAAATTTTCATGATTCATCAATAAAATTCACTTCCCAATGATTATCAATATAATATAATAATTTTAATCTTGAATCAAGTACTATAAATTAATAATCATAAATTAATAATTTATAAATTAAAATTAATAAATAAAAATATAAAACTTACTAGTAGTAATAGAATAAGCATTAGAATTTGCATGACAATAATATTTTTTTAATTTTTTTAATACTACTGCAGAAGCAGTATTTATTTCTATTGTTTAAAGTTTTTATTTGAAAATCTTCAATTATATTCATTAACTAATTATAGGTTGATATTGTAATTGTTAAAGTTGGAAAACTTTTATATGAAACATATTTTGTTGCTTGTGCAAAATACTATAAATTTAATAAATTAATTAAAAAAAAATATTAATATAATATAATTAATTATATTATTTCTTACCTCTAATAAATTTTCTATTTCTTTTAATAAATTCTATTCAAAATCATTTAAGACATATAATCTTAATTCCCATTTAGATGATCTTGTATTATCTAAAGCCTTTAATAATTATAATAATTAATAAATTTTTACAAATTTAGTTATAATAATAAATATAAAATACTAATCTCACATAATTCAAAACTACATTTAATCATATCATAAGTAGAATTCCATCTTGTTTTTATATCTAATATTGGTTCTTTAATAGAAAAAGAAGCTGTATCATATTGATGTAAAAAATTTCATAACGGTAAAGCTCAAATTTTAACAACAAGCTTACAAAGCTATATTATATAAATAAATATAATATAAATTACAAGAAATTAATTTTAAAAATTTTACAAATATATATATTATTAACTATGCTATTTATTGTTTCATTATAAAGTATTTCAATTTCACTTTCTAAACAATTAGCTTTTAAAGAAATAAGTGCATTTTGTGCAGCTAAATTTATAATATGTGCAAAATATCGAATATGATTATTTTTTTTAATAAAATTAATATTTTGTAATTGACATTATTTTTAAAGTTCTTCTATCATTGTATCATTATTTTTGGTATTATCTGTTATATAATATTGAATTTATAATATAATTAATTATAAATTAAAGTTATAATTAAATTTTAAAAAATTAAAAAAAGATATACATACTTTAGTAAAAATTTTAAATTCATTATAGTAATTAATAAGATTCTGCTAAATTTTTTTCAAAATGAATCCCATTTAATTTATAAAAATTAACTAAATTTCTATTAATTCTCACTCTTTTGAAATCCAATAAGCTATAATCCTTAAAAAAAAATATAATTAGCTGATATCTACCTATCAATCGTAAATGATATATGACTAAAAATATTCTAAAATAAAAATAAATATTAATATTAAATTTATATAAATAAAAATAAAAATAAAAAAGTAATAACTTGTAAAATATCTTGAAATTTTAAATACTCTTAATTAAAACATTTTATTATATCTGCATGAATAGTATCAGCCAAAAGTATTTTGATATTAAAATTTAACATCTGAAATAAATTTTGCAAATTTTTTAATTCAAGAATTAAAAAAGGTTGATTATTACAGACAATTTATTTAGAGATATATTCATGAAATACAGTTGGAAAATACTATATAAAAAATTATATAAATTTTAATATTTGATAAATATATAAAAAAATTTAAATAAAACTTACAGATAGAATTTTATTGATATATTTATCTATTGCTCCTTTTATTTCTAATTTTTTTAATTTAGCAGGATATTTATTTCTTAAATGTTGATAAAGATTACTTGTAACTCTACTAGTATGCTTATATTTTATACTGTAATATTTAAAATATTAATAAATAAAATATTTTTTATAAAATAAAAAATAAATATATACTTACAAATAATATATACATTTTGCTTTTTCATTTTCTATTCTAAAATGTTTTCAAATTAAACTATATGTTCTTGAAGAAATTTCAGTTTCTACTATAGTATCAAGTTCATTATTATTACTGTACTATTCTGAAATTAAGCAACCCCCAAAAATAAGCAACCCATCAATTAGTATAGATCCAAAAATAAGCAACCCATAAATTTCACATAATAATTAAATATAATAAACATTAAAAATAGCATTAAATTTATTAATAATGTATTTTTATTATAAAATATTAA